GTTACTCAAATGGGCTCTATTCATGCTTATGTCACAACCTAGAAACGCGTTTGGAAACATCTGATTACAACTTCAGTGCAGTTACCGACACTGGACTCACCGACCGATTGTGATCAAACCCACTGAAGTAAATGTGATCGGCTGTAAAATTAAGACTGCATAGGTATGTGCTGTTTGGAATCATCTGGAATTTGGCGCCCTCATCTCTTCTAATCGCATGTACCCAGGGCGCACAGAGCTGTGTGTCAGAGGGGAAGTGATGAAAACTGATGTACACTACCGGTCAAAGGTTTTAGAATACCACACGTTTTACAGTTTTTTATTGTTTACTGTTTACTGTTGACCAAAACATATTCTAAACTTTTCATGCAAGTGTCAACCTTTTTCAGAAATAACAGCTGAACACACTCATGGCATTCTTTTTATAATAGAAATCAAATACTCCTCAGAAAGTTCTTCCCAAGTCTGTTGCAGAAGTTCCCATACTTGTGTGACACTTGTAGGTTGTTTGGCTTTGGTTTAAGTCTGGAGACTGTGCTGGACACTCCATGTTTTCAAGCTTACCATCATGTTATTTTTTCCTGACGTAGTTTTGGTATAGCTCGGTCTTGTATTTTGTTATCTTTTATCTTTTTTTTTTAAACCTCTGGCTGTTCAGTTCTTACCTTTGTACCATTTCAAGCTCTTCATTGGACTTGCACAACTTAAATTGCAATGAATCAGTGGAAAAATTAGGGTGTTCTAAAACTTTTGACCAGTAGTGTATGGTTGTAATTGTTGTTTAGCCGAACATAAGAGAATGCTACAGTGACATGCAGATGAAGAAAACTGGGCCATTTTCTAATTTTTCCTAGAACAGAGCCCGCCGGAAGTTGTAATCGCATCTTTCCAAACGTCTCCCAGGTTTGTGACGTAAGCGTAAGCCTATAGACTTGAATCTGAGCCTTAATTTGAAACAGTCTAACCAGAAAGAGATGCTTTAGTTAGTCACTCACACCTTTTTGTTGAAAATCAAACACCTAAACAGGTCCGTGCACGCTCGTACTGATCACCGGCTTCTGAAAATGCGTTTTAATCCATTTAGTATTTTTTTTCTTGAGTTTTCAGACCATCTTAAAGCGTATTTGTCTGTGTTTGGTAATGTTGTGTAACCATGGCAACTTGTAAACATTCATAAGCCATAAACATACAAGTAGTACATCCCCAGCATGATGTCACTGCAAAGTATTAATACAAATATCTTGCTCATTATTGGCTCGCGAGTAGTCTATTTGCAAAAGAAGATGTCAGTAATGAGTTCTGTTATTGCTGGATAGAAGATTACATTGACTTTAAAAACCAAACGCGTATTTGAGGGCGATCATTACAAAAACCACAAAAGGAGAAATTGCTTATTAACGGATTATACTGGGTTAGCAGGGGGTTGCAAAAGTCCCAAATATAGCACAAAACAACAACTTAATTCCCTCTGCCTGGAAACGAAGGACTTGACATTTCAACAGTCGGGGGACACATTGGAAGAGTGGTTCAGCCATTTTTTTTTTTCTTCTTCTTCTTCTTTTCTTCCTCCGTCGCCAAGACAACCTCGCATCCAGCCTGGGAGATTGAACTTGTAATGACTTTAAATACCATCCATTGTCTCTTAACACACGGCAGCTAGGTGCATGCAGGATTGCTTTGATTGAGATTGCGAGTGTGAAGCTGACGGGATAATTTTTCCCCACTTGAAGAAAAGTAGGGTCAGAGAGACAGCCTTTTTTTCAAAATGTCACAGGAAGTAATGAGATATGAATCATTTTTTGTCACCGTATTTATCGCTAAAAACAACAGGAAGCTGAAGCGTTGCAAAGTAGCGCTGTCCTTTTCTTGTCACATCCGTCTAACTGCCAGTTGTAGTCACTTCTTTTTTATTGGGACTATATCAGTTCCCTCACAACATCACACACGTTTTGGCAAAGGGATTCGCAATTAGCATATTCATGAGTGGAATACAGTGGAAACTTTGTAGCGACGGGAGACGTTGGGAGCGAGGGAGGGATGGAGTGGAGTGGGTGGAGGGAGGGAGGGGTGGATGCTGCGTTTCCGATGCGTTTGTTGCGGAACAGAAAAAGCCAGATGGCACGGTGACTTTGAGAAAATCCAAAATTAGGTGTGTTTTGGTGAACTTCACGCTCATTGACGATGTAAATGGCTCCGTCAGACAAGTCAGGGAAGACAATGCGTGCGTGTGCATGTGTTCGTTTGCACGGTGTGTGTGTTTGCAGCGTCGCCACGGAGATGGTGTTTTGTTGATTGAAATCGGTGCGATACTTGAGGCTTTATTCTGACTCTATTGGTTCTGTGTTGGAGTCATGCATATATTTAGATACTTGTAACCTTGAAAATGGATAGCAGTACTGCCCTTGGGAACAAATAGATAAATTGAATACAGAATTACCAGTATAGCTGTATATGCTATTATGTTTGTGTAGATATAGTGGAAAATGTATGTTTTAAGTTGTTCTTTGAGTAAAAAGTAGCAAGTTGCAATGATACTAGTAGTTTTATTATCTATTCTTGGTTTCAGCTTTGTGTCTAATTGGCAACATTTTGATGACTTTTCACGATTCAGAAGAAATATTAATTTGTTTTGGTTTGGTTTCTTATTGCAACGTTTTCATGACTCCAAAACCCATGGATGGTTTAATTTTGTTTATTTCATTATTTGATATTTTACCAAGTTAGTCACTTGAGTACACCTCATTAATGTGACGACCTGACCAAGAGGCTCCATAAAACAGCAGAATACACACACACGAACACACACACCAACACCAGCCAACCATAATCTGAAACAGTGAATTGTAACATGACAAAAACTTCTGCAGATTAAAGGTATAAAAGTGTTAAAAGTATGTGCACTGATCCTGTGAAGTACTCTGGATTGAGTTTAGAAGTCGACAGAGGTGTAGTTCAGTCTTTATTTGAAGGGACAATGTACAGCAACATTAAGATAATAAAAAACAGATGTTCTGCAGCAGATTAGAGCTGAACAGCAAGTTTCCATTTGCCGTCCATGATTTACAGAAATCAATTACACAATATAATTACATTCAGTCAACAATAAGAACAAGTCTCACTGTCGCTCTCTGTCACGCTTCATAACCCAAACACACTCACACAATATCACACATGCACAATGCAACCACATAAAATACATATTAAAGAACTCATATTGTGCTTGTGTCTGTTCTATAGTTATAATCTATAACCCCTGGATCATTGTTAGAATTTGCACATTTTAAGTCACAATTTTGCAACTTAACCACAACTTCAAGAGGGTGGTAAATGAGAAGAGGAAACAGCTATGACATGGTTAAAAGATGTTGCATAGTATGTCTGCAATAATTTACCAGTTTGAGATTTACTATTGGATCAGTACGTAGTTTTAAAACAAACTAAAAACAATATACAAGTTATAGTGTTGTGAAGCAGTACAGCCATAGTATAAAGTCATAGTTGTTGGGTTGTTGTAGAAATAATAAAGGAAGAATAATAAAGAAATAATAAGTAAACTGGAGCTAATTGTTGTAGCAGAAATAGTATTGATTATAATTCCAGCCATCCTAACTATAGTAGAGATCTGTCTTTAACTACTTTCTCCATCTTTCCTGCTCACTGTTCCAGCTGTACACTTTACACGACCCTATTGTCCTCCACTGGACCAAAGCTAATGAAACCTCCCTCTTAGTTAAAGGCCCACGTGGATGCTCGCCAGATAGTGACTCTCTTTACATATACTCTCACCCTTATGTTTCAAAGAGGAGACTATCTTCACGTTTAACAGCAGCCCTGACTACGTGTTAAGTGGAAGTGACAAAACAGATCAGCGACTTTGTAAAGAGGATTTTGATAGTCCATATTGTACAGCTATCACCCACACTCAAGTCTTATCAGGAGGCTTCTAAATGCTTTTTAGCTTGGAGCGTCATTAGCTGTTTAATAGGGTTAGAGTGCTGCTAATTGTACACAAACCAATCTCGAACATTGCAGGCAGTAATTAATTTCCACTCCTGACATGATAAATAATGGCCAATTTGTTATATATTATAGGAAGGTAGCAGTATGCTTTCACTGCAAGATAAAGAACACATATTCACTGATTTATAAAGTAAAAGAGTTCTAATTACTTTAAATTTGCAATGAAATTATGCAGTTTTGCTTTAGAGGTTCTATATTATGCAACATTGACTCTTGTAAGCTTTAAGCTGTGTTAAATGCTCTGTTCCACCTTGTGATGTTATGAAGCGGTAGTTTTCAAGTTAGCAGCTGCCCTTTTACCTTTAGTTCAGTAGAGATTGGCAATTCCAGGGCTGAAATTATACACATGATTCTAGCACCCTATGAGTACCTGCAAATAGTGCTGAAATGGGCGTTTTTTTAGCATTCTGAATTATACTGAGTGAGGGCTCTATGGGAATAATGCATTGTAAAGAAAGCACTTTGGGTATCTTGAAAGGCACTATTGATACTTTGCAGCAACATCATGTTGGGGGTGTTCTACGTGTACTCTAATGGTGGAATGTTTAAGAGGTACCATAGTGACATAATGCAAACCTTCGCAAATACAGACAAAAATGTTTTAAAACCATCTGAAACCTTAAGAAAAAAGTTTAGGTATTTAATTTTCAGTAAAAAGATGAGAGTGACTTGTATTAGAAAAAAACTCATCTTAAAGTCCAACAGAGCCTCAGATAGAGCAGAGCCTACAGTTAGAATCATACATCAGCTGCGAAGTATCAGTATAAACAGACATTATTTTTACTGTAAAGTTTTTGTACAAGAACTTTTAGTCCGAGAACACCAAGACTTTAGTACACAAAACCAAACCAAACATCTGAAAAAGTGTTGCTCAAAGAGTCCAGGGCTGTAGAATTGATTTTACAATATGGCTTTTATGGCTGGATAAAGAGCCAGACTTGGACAGGAGGGTTTACTGATAATAAATGTTTGTTTTTCAGACCTGGTGAGGCGCTGGTGCACTCTGGAGGGGGGCTTTCTGAGTTACTATGAGAGCGAGAGGAGCCCGACGGCGCTGGGCAGAGTGGACATCGCAGAGGTGGTCAGTGTGGCGGTCAGCAACACAGAGACCATGACTGGAGCTGGGTACGAACGTCTGTTGTCACGATGCTGAAATTTCAAACCCGATCTTGATATTAAAGGTCTTATATTACGCGAAATTGACTCTTTTGAGTTTCTAGCCATGTTATAATGTTGTTTCCTCATTAAAAACATACCTGTAATTTAGTTTTGTTTCATTCACACATATTTAACACACAAACGCTGCATATTTAGGCTGAGTTCTTCAGTGTTCCTTCTTGTGATGTCATGTGGTAATACAGGAAGTGCTCCACTGTGTTTTTAAATGCTAGATGTTTTCACTATTTGTATGATTTTTAGCCCATCTTTACTAAACAAAAGTTAAGAGATAGCTGTTAAAATTCAGCTAAAATAGTGCTCCATGACATCACAAGGTGGAAAAGAGCATTTTGAGCTTTAGAGATGTAGACAGACTAATAATAAAGAGTTACTCAAATATGTGAATGAAACAAAACACAACTCCAGGTCTGTTTTTAGGAGGTAAAAGCATTATATATATTCACAAGTGTCAATTTTGCACAATATTGGAGCCCCTTTTAAAGAAGACATTTGTTTTTTTAAATATACTTACTAAACTGTAAGTTGATTAGTTTCCCTTTTGTTCATTGTAAACTGCACTATTGGTCTAAAACCATTAACTTCCTGTTTTCTATCTTTAAAAACTACATTTCCTGCCTGGGGGTCATATAAGTACAGAACAGTGCACAGAAATAGGAGAAGGAAACAGATTTTTTTTTAGCCCTCAAGCCTCAAATCATTCAAAACACAACTCTGATTAAGCTAATAACTAAACTTGTTTTATTTTGGACATAAAGCAAGTTTTGCAAAATTAATTCAAAAATGCAAATCAGCCGTAGTGCCCATCCTGAATGAACCTAGTGAATTTACGCCGCCTTTTCCTCCATACACCAGTGAAATGACTGCCATAAATCCAGCTTCACCAGTCACTGTCCGTGCACGATTAAAGACACACGGGCCTCACACATTAAAACAGATATATTCTCATTAAATTAACTGTAATTGATTGATAGCTCTGGTTCATACAAGTTTAAAACATTTCCACACCCTCATCATGCGTCCCCTTAGCATAATCTTTATTCCACCATTATTCAATTTAACTGGAGCTATCAAGGCTTTACGACAGTTATATTTCCTGTTTACTTGAGCAACGCTGCGTTCGCCATTTTAACTGCCCCCGCCCCCTTTTCACAGCTCTGCAAAGTTGTTATTTATTTGCAAACTTCCGGTGACTGCAACACTTTTATTTCAGATGCCCTGGCCTTTCTCAATGGCTTTGGTGTTCACTGCAAAAACTAAATTGCATTATGTAACTTTTCTGGTGGATGATCAGTCAAATTTTCTCAGTGGAGATGTTATTGCTTTATCTGGAATGTTTCAGAGTATAGCATTAAATTCCATGAAAAAAGAGGAGAGGTAAGCCCGCTCACAGTCAGAATTTCAGTTTTTTAAGCTATAGAATCATCTGTAATTGAATAAATGTAAGGTAGAGCTGTTGAATGTCATACTGTGGAACACTCCAGACAAAACAATGACATTCATAGAAACAAGCAGGTGATGAATCCCCAACTAAAAGTTACACAGTGCACCTTTAAGATTACTTGAATTAAGAAATTTTTATCATGTTTTGAGTAAATTTTACTTGGTAACTGAAATTATCTACCAATGAAACAACACTTTTTGTACATAAATATGAAAATGTCTTGCTACTCTTAAAAAGTGCACTACATAACTTTTTGGTTGGGGTTCTGTCACCTGCTTGTTTCTATGGATATGTCATTGCTCTGGCTGGAATATTCCACAGTATGATATTAAACAGTTCTACCTTATATTTATTCAATTACAGATGGTTTTATAGCTCAAAAATACCTAGAAAAACAGGCATTCTGACTGTGAGCGGGATCACCTCTCCACAGATCTGACCTGTAACTTGGTCTAGTTTGGTCTCTGTAAAGGTAAAATTGTTTAATAACATACTGTGAAACATTCCTGACAAAGCAATAACATCTCCATGGAGAAAAGCATTTGCTTGAATTAAGAAAAGCACACTCCATTAGTAGATAATTTTACTTGTCAACTTGAATCTACTCATATAAAGTCAAATGTTCTTAAGTAAAAGGTGCACTGCGTAACATTTCTAGTGGGGTCCACCATGTGCTTGTCTCCAAGGAAATGTTATTGTTTTATCTAGAATGTTCCACAGGATAGACTAAACCATCTCTATCACAACTATCACAAGAGACAAGCGGGTTACAGCACTATTCTACATTACAGTTCAGATCTGTGGAGAGTCGCCCCTATTCACAGAAGGAATTATTATATTTTTGAGCAATAGAAACACCAGTAATGAGTAAATGCTGAATGGATATGTTTAATGTCACACCATGGAACATTCCAGGGAAATTCCTTGGAGATAAGCATGTAGCCGACCGTCCATCAGAAAATCCATCATTTTAACTTGTTTATTGCTTTTTGCAGTGTTGCTGTTTTATATATGCTAATGTCCAGTGATTAAACATACGGCTTAATGACTCCAGCAGATGTTCTGAAGAGCCAAACGTGCTTTTATTTGTAAATGTTATTTATACTGCAGCTACCAGCACATCTGGTCAGTGCTAAGTGCAACCTTTATTATGAAATGAACCACCATGGCAGGTCATAATGATCATTTCTTTAGTCATACAAAGTGCATGGCCTCGTTTTTATGCCTTCTCTAAATGTTTGAGCCATAATTGAAATATATTGCATATTTCTAACTAGCATTTATGAACTATCAAAGTTAAATGTGCACTGTGTTACATTTTTGTTGGAGGGTCCCCCATTAGCTTGTCTTCATTTAGATGTTCCACAATATGACATTACACGCATCTAGCTCCATAAATACAAGCACCATCAAGCCAAGTTACAGTTCAGATCTGTGGAGAGGCAAGTCCACACAACGTTCAATTGCAGGCTTTTCAAGGTATTTCTAAGCAATAAAACACTGATAATTAAATCAATGCAAGACAGATGGCGTTAATGCCTAGCCTGATTGATCAGCGAGTTTCACTTCTTAGAAACCGTCTGACCTTGCAGTGTTAGAATTCGTTCCCTCCACGGTAGGCGAGTACTTTTTTAATTGAACCAATCGCTGCTATTTGGTCATGATGTATGTAATGCGCTGGTAACGAGGCTAACTGGTATATTAAGCTTTTCCCAAATCCTGTAGGAAGTAGGGCAATAACATCTTTCCTCTTGATAAAATTGACAAAACATTCTCTTGTTCCAGTTTTAAATCCTCGATCTTGGGAATTGTTGCCAACACAGAATGTAGTCGCTCTTCGCTCTTGGCTAGTGCCTGAACTCGCACTTCTTTGCGAACCGTGTGTTCTGATTCCTGACCTAGTTGCTGGAGAGAAATGAAATTGAGTGGAGGCACTAGGTGGCACCAGCCTGGCTAGTTAATGCCATACAAAATTTGCATTCTTATGTGAGCAGGGTCATATCTCGACAGATTTCACTTGAAACTTGACCTGGTGGTGCCATTTCTTGTCTCCATGGAGATAGACAAGTTTAATGCCATACTGCGAAACATTCAAGGCAAAGGCAAAGTTTTTCAGGTGTAGAATGAGCGTCCACATCACTCAAAACTGAGAACATAATTAAAATTTGACTAATTGTGCTGCCCTGGAGTGCAAAAAATGTGAACAGTGATCAAAATCTGGGCACGTACTTTTTTTTTTTTTTACAGTTTTTTAATTCATTTTTTAACTTTGAAATTTCAGTCCACTGATATACATTTTTATGGCTAGTCTTGCTTTAAATCCTTTTGTTCAGTTACACAGTGGCTACATTAAAGATTTTAGGTTCACAAGTGCAAAAGAACTGTCAAATATAGCCTCTTTTTGCCACTATGATGAGCTGAATAATCCAAACGATAATTTCTTTTAGCCTTACAAAGCAGCCATTTCTGTTATGCATGGACTTATAGGTCACAGTGAAAGCCTATTATTTCTATGTGTAATACTTTGCCTCCATAATGGCGTATGTTTCAGTAGATTAAACTCTGAGCCGAAACTTCCCAGCATGCCTCTGTGCACGCGGAGGGAGCGGGCTCACCTCACCTTTGGACTTCCTCATACATATTAACGTATGCAGATGGCGCAGTTATACCATCAGCCTATCGTGAGCTCCAGGAGGTTGTAGGTGCCACTTCCATTAAACGCAACATTTGGGTAATTTGAGCGTAGCAAGAGGACACCGTGAATTACAGCGCGTCCCTGAACACATCATGAAGTTGTGTGAATATTACAGAAAAGCCCCGCTAAAGGTATTAATGCAGGAGGGAGAATGTTGGGCGATGATAAGTTTTTCGTTTTTTTTTCCTCCCCCAGTCATCTGCCTGGTTAACAAGAACATTTTGTGCTAAATTTTGACCTTCAATATCAAGTTAAAAGCTTTGAAATGTAGCTTTCGTTGACTTTTTTGGTATTGCAGCATTGCACTTGAAATCGCAATGACCTATTCTCAGACAGCTGCCAAAATGGAAATTCTAGTTCATTTTTTCCACGGATATGCCATTACCTTCTGATAGAAAAGTGAATTATTTATCCATGCAGTCTTTCTTTCATATCTTTGTACATTTCAGAGGTCATACATTTATTTTTTTATTTTTTTTTTTTTTTTGTCAATTCTAAAACCTACTACACAAGCAACAATTCTGGGTTTTATGTAAAGGAACTGGCCAGACATATAAAAACCTACTACTACTTCGCAGCATTCTCTGGGGGTGTCATACTAACTGAAGGCTCTGCTCTGTCTGAGGCTTTGTTAGGCTTTACTTTGTGCTTTATTTTAACACAATCTGACCAGAAAGAAATGACTTAGCTGGAACTACAACAGTTGAGCTGTTAAACAAGTCTCTCACACGTGAAATGACAGGTGCAAGCACAGACTGTAAAAGAAGTGGAAGTGTGATGTTTGGTTCCAACTAAATGAAGCTCACGAGG